GCGTCTGCATCAGCAAAGTGATCTCCTTGCCTGGAAGGCAAGACAGAAAGCAGAAACAGCTCTTTCACCCAGAGCTCTGGGTCACAAGGCAAAGGGGAAACATCCAGGTGGAAACCAGAAGCTGCTACATTCCCTGCTCCAAATACACACAAAACCACAGCTAGAATCCCTGATGCACTTCTCAGATTCTCCACATGAATTTAAGCCATCTGTGTAATTTAATTTGGGGCGGTTTCCTTGGGAGGATGGACTCTAGAGACCTAGGTTCAATTCCCTGCTCCGCCACTGACTTCTTGTGAGACCTTGAGAAAGTTACTTAAGTCCAGGTCCTCAGAAGGTATTTAGGCACCTCACTGATTTCAAAGAGAGTTAGGTGCCTAAACAGAAATCTTCCCAGGCCTAATTTTTAAGCCTGACTCAGACCCAAGCCCACCTGACGTAAGCCCAAGAAGGTCAAGTTGTTTCCCAATCTGACCCCAACGCTTCCCCACCCCCGAACCTGCATCAGCACCACTGTTGTCTCCTGCTGGGGGGTTGGATCTTCTCCCCAGGCCCATGGGATCAGTGCGGAGGCAGCTGCAAGTGCCTGTGTGCATTGTGCCTCCTCAGCACAACCAGTCTGCAGCGCACACGGTGCAGCGAGATGGTGGTGCTCAGTACGAGCAGGGCAGGCAGCCACCCAAGTGCTGACCCCCAGGCAGGAGGAGTGCCGACCAGAGCCGGTCTGGTTGTTTTCCCACCTGACCCAGACCTGACACCTGCAGTCAAATCCCACAGGGTTCAGGTCAGGCTGCAGGGCTTTATAGCTAAATACCTTTGAAGATCTGAGCCACAGTCTTAGTTCCCCATCTGCACACAGATCCCATGAGAATAAGTATATTAAATCAATGAGATGCTCAGATATTACAGTGCAGGGGGGTCCTATCAATACTAATATAGATGGCTGGATAAGCAACTTGACCTAGGCTGCACAGTCAGCATGTGGCTCAGCAGGGAATAGAACTTGGGAGTCTTGGACTTGCACGTCCAGGTTTAACCGCTAAATCACCCCAACCCCCGGTAAATGCAGCAGAAGAAAGAAGTTTAGTGCATAGCTGTGTGCGCAATTTCATGCCTAATTTGTAAATGCAATTACAATAAACGTAGATGCAAATTAGACAGGCAATTGCACACTCGTTTTGCACGCTTACCCTATTTAGAAATCCTCTGTTGCTAGCTTATGCAGATCAAACAGGGCAATTTACTTTCTCACCCAAATGCAGGAATAACTGATGATCTCTGTAGGATCTCACCTACATCCTTTTCTTTTATCGAGAGCGTGTGTGGGGGAAGACAGTTCTTAGAAGCCGTGCACTCAGCCTGGCCCAAAGCGCAAAGCTGTATGTACATGCCCTGCCCAAAACTGTGTGCACCTGGAATTCAGAGACTTCATCAGTGCTCAGGGCTGGTCTGTGCCTGAGCAGCACAGGGCATATGTCTTCACATCCCTATGGCACATGGAGCCATATCGTTTTTCAACATTGCTGTGCAGTGCATGGCTAGGATGCTTATTTCAGAGGCTTTAGCAGAGGGCAGTTAAATCACTATGAAAATGGAAGGCCCCAGGAGGAAAGTTCCCCACCCCAGAGTGGCCACAGACCAAAGCTAGGAATCCCTACCGAGACCCTTGGCTTTCTTTTTCTCCTGGGCCCGTTTCTGATCACGCTCCCCACACTCGTCGTTGGCTCGGAACTCTTCGGTCCCCTTGGAGCCCTCCTTCTCTCCATTCATCTCAGGGCAGCCTGGCTCCTGCTCGCCGTTCCTGGGGGATTCGCTCCGGCACTTGTCTGCTTCGTCTGGCTCCACGGGCTCGCTCTGCCCACCATCATCTCCTGGACCTTCTTGGCTGGCATCCACACAGTACGTGTTCAAGATGTCCTCCAGCTGCCTGCTCAGCTCTTCAGAGACATCACACGTGGCAGGCTGGGAGGATTTTGTCTCCTCCTCCACATGAGAAGCTATGGGAGATAGGTGAGGACAAACACATGATACTTTCTCTAACAATTTCTATCCTGCTAGCTCCTCTCTACTGTAGCCCTGTGTAATAACCAGAGAGCAGTGGAAAGGCTTCCTACCAGGGCCAGCAAACTTTCAGCAACATACATTCTCCTGGGGTATTGCATCTCTAACTAGCTGCTCTGACAGTGGAGCTGCACTTCTAGCTAAGTTCCCTTCCAATCTAGGGAGCATGACCAGGCTCCCAACATCTGTCGGTGGCAAAACTCCCAATACGTTTATTGGGAGCAGGCTCAACGTGCGTTTTCCTTCATAAGAACAGCCTACTAATATCCATTCCTGGAGTGAAGTATATGGTTTAGAACCTTTCTCCTTATGCACCACCCTGACAGCTAAGGTCAGTAAGGTCCTCCTGCTGAGAATCCCAATTTGATCTCTTGAAGATTGGCAGCAGTTGATGAAGTCATCGCAGCCACTGGGCATTCACCAGACCCCAAATTTACTGGTCATCAGTGTGGATGGCAGGGTTCATTTCAACCAACTACTTACTTGACTAGAGAGCTTTCCCCAGCTGGAGGGTTATTTTTGTTATTTCTATAGCACCAATAGGAGAGCAAATGTATAGGCTCATGGGTGGTGCTGGTGAGGGGCAACTAATAATAATGCCCAGTAAAGCAGGTCTGTTTGATTTTTTGACTCTAAAGTCCAAGAGGTCACAGCAATGGGTGAACAGTAAATAATTCAATACAGCCAGCTCAGAACCAGTGGTGGATGCATCTTCATGCCTTTGTATCCACCATCCCATACACACGGTTACTACTTTGGGACTGCACATATACAGACATTACACACACCTGAAATGAAACCCAGGACTCTGCTTCTAAAGCCACAAGCCTCCTGCATGTGAGTGAATGGAAATTTGTTACAACAGCCACCCCAGAGAGAAAGCCACAGCCAGACATGGCCACTCAGTTCAAAATGGAAACACACCCTCATTCTTATCCTGCTCCTCACTGGTCAGGCTCTCAGCATTGCCATCAGCAGAAGGCTCAGAGTTGCATGTCCTGGACTGGCTTGGGGAGTCCCCAGCTTCAGGGGGAGCTGCAGCCTGGGCTAAGACTCCTTCCTGTAGCACCAGATTGCTGTTCATTTTGGGAGGACTAGCAGGCAGCAAAGCAGCTTTGTTCTCCCCACCTTGGTTCTTCATCAATGCTCTTCTCCCCACTCAGTCTCAATAAACCCTGGTGAAAGAGAAAGGTCACCTGAGTTTAGTTGTAAGAAATGAGGATTCATGAGATTTTAGCAGAAATCACCACCCTGCAACAGACTGACTGTGAGGTGAAATCAACAGGAATCGACACACTCAGAACTGGGAGAGCAAGGTTCTTCACTGACCCTCCCCATCCACTGCTAGTTGTAAGACGCATTTGCTGCCTCTCACTCAACAGCAGCTTTGTGAACCCCATTCTGCTATTGGAAAGCGCACGCATCCTTTCTCCCATATCTCCAAGCTATCCCGCTCGCCATAAAGAGTTCCATGTCTGGATAACTGTTCCTCCAGTTGAGTAAACTGCTCCTCCAAACCCCTGGAGTAAATGGTTCTCTCACTTCTGTATTCTGCAGACTGCAGCCTTCTGATGGACCCAAGTTCCCATCCCTCACTTCATGCTTTGCTCTCAGAACATTTCATTCCACAAGCCACCAGGAAATAAGTTCCATGGATCACAGCATTAGCCTAGAGGGGCCCATGCAGGCTGACATGAGAACCTCTCTCTCTAGGATTGAATGCATTGCCTTTACTAAGCACACACGCCCTCCTAGCTCAGGAGCAACGGACAGAGGCCAAAATCTTGAATCAGGATCCTCAAGGCAGAAGAGGGACCAGCGTCTATTAAAACAACAGGTGCATTTGGCTGGAGGGAAAGCATGCAATTTCCAAGAAGAGCTGGTGGTCAGCAACAAAGAGATCCATCAACAGCTCCATGAAACACAACAGACAGACACAGGCCAAATTCAACCTTCTTTCCATTTCCATGCCCCTCCAGGGATACACTCTCTCTCTCTCACCCTCAGTCTCTCATTCACCATGCAGATGACAGGGAAAGCAATTGCTGCAGCCACTCTGCAGTCTCCCATTTCAGAGACACTTCTAATGATGAAGCACAGGCAGCTTATCTGTCCCAGGACAATTCGGATCCCACCTCTGATGAGAGAAAAGCGTTGTCCCAAATTTGGGCATAGCGCCCCATGGGTAAGTCTTCTCAGAGGGCAATGCAGGGCACAACCAGCCACGTGAAGCCAGGGGAGGCAGTTAAAAAGTAATGGGGGCCAGGCAAGCGCAGCATCTAGTCGTGCACAGGCCCCACGATGGGCCCGTCTCTCACAGGCAGGCCCAGCAGCACCGGTTTCCCACACTGCACACAGCCCCCGTGTCACGAATGCCCCCTCTCCCTGTGGCACCCCACGCGCTGCACACATCGCTACGTTACCCAGTGTGCCCCACCCAGCTCTGCAGGGCCCACAGGCTCCACTGCCTCAGCTTCCCCTGCCAGCGCCCTACGCCAGCCCCCCCCTGCACTGTGCCCCCCAAGCTGCCCTAGATACCCCGCGATCCAGCCCCACTCCCACCCTGCCCCATTCACACACACACACACGCCGCCCCCCTGCTCCCCACACCCTCACCAGGCCCCGCCCTCTGCCCCCAAGGCAGCGGGCAGGGACGTCACCCCTACCCTGCAATGACATCACCGACGTATCGCGTGACGTCACCGCTGAGTACCCTGACGTGGCTCCCTACCCTCAGCCAATCAGTAGCGGCCGCCGGCCGCACTCCGGCAGATTGGAGAGCCCCCTACATACGGGTCCCCACAGCGCTCAGCGGCCCCTCGTCCCCGCGGCGGAGCTCTGCGACCGGGCAAGCGGTTGCAGCCTCCAGCCCGGGCCTCTGAGCGGGTACAGAGAGCGCATGCGTCGTCACCCGCCGGGCCCGCCAGCCAATCCGCGAGCGGGGCGGCGCGGGGCCTGCCGGGAAATACAGCGAAGCGGCGGCATTCGAGGCGGGCAGCCGGTGCGACTACATCTCCCGGCGTGCCTCGCGCCAGGGGGCGCTAGTATGTCTCCCGGCGTGCCTCGCGCCAGTAAGGGTATGGGGGGAGTGGTGCGGGCAGCGGGAGGAGAAGCCCCCTCCTCGTGCCCTAAGTGGCGGGGGAGAGAATTGTGAGGAGAGGGGGCAGGGAGGCACTAGCCCGACGGGGGGGAAGCCGTGAGGAGAGGGGGCAGGGAGGCACTAGCCCGTGGGGGGGAAGCCGTGAGGAGAGGGGGCAGGGAGGCACTAGCCCGAGGGGGGGGGGAAGCCGTGAGGAGAGGGAGCAGGGAGGCACTAGCCCGAGGGGGGGGGGGGAAGCCGTGAGGAGAGGGGGCAGGGAGGCACTAGCCCGAGGGGGGGGGGGGAAGCCGTGAGGAGAGGGGGCAGGGAGGCACTAGCCCGAGGGGGGGGGGAGCCGTGAGGAGAGGGGGCAGGGAGGCACTAGCCCGAGGGGGGGGGAGCCGTGAGGAGAGGGGGCAGGGAGGCACTAGCCCCGGGGGGGGAGCCGTGAGGAGAGGGGGCAGGGAGGCACTAGCACGAGGGGAGGGGGAGCCGTGAAGAGAGGGGGCAGGGAGGCACTAGCCCGTGGGGGGGGGGAAGCCGTGAAGAGAGGGGGAGGGGAGGCACTAGCCCGTGGGGGGGGGGGAAGCCGTGAAGAGAGGGGGGGAGGGAGGCACTAGCCCGAGGGGGGGGAGCCGTGAGGAGAGGGAGCAGGGAGGCACTAGCCGGGGGGGGGGGGGGGGGGAGCCGTGAGGAGAGGGGGCAGGGAGGCACTAGCCGGGGGGGGGGGGGGGGAGCCGTGAGGAGAGGGGGCAGGGAGGCACTAGCCCGAGGGGGGAGGGGGAGGCACGGCGGGGGGGGGGAGCCGTGAGGAGAGGGGGCAGGGAGGCACTAGCCCCGGGGGGGGAGCCGTGAAGAGAGGGGGCAGGGAGGCACTAGCCTGGGGGGGGGGGAGCCGTGAGGAGAGGAGGGAGGGAGGCACTAGCCCGAGGGGGGGGTGGAGCCGTGAGGAGAGGGGGCAGGGAGGCACTAGCCCGAGGGGGGGGGGAGCCGTGAGGAGAGGAGGGAGGGAGGCACTAGCCCGAGGGGGGGGGAGCCGTGAAGAGAGGGGGCAGGGAGGCACTAGCCCGTGGGGGGGAAGCCGTGAAGAGAGGGGGGAGGGAGGCACTAGCCCGAGGGGGGGGGAGCCGTGAGGAGAGGGGGCAGGGAGGCACTAGCCGGGGGGGGGGAGCCGTGAGGAGAGGGGGCAGGGAGGCACTAGCCCGAGGGGGGAGGGGAGCCGTGAGGAGAGGGGGGAGGGAGGCACTAGCCCGAGGGGGGGGGAGCCGTGAGGAGAGGGGGCAGGGAGGCACTAGCCCGAGGGGGGGGAAGCCGTGAGGAGAGGGGGCAGGGAGGCACTAGCCCGAGGGGGGGGGAAGCCGTGAGGAGAGGGGGGAGGGAGGCACTAGCCTGAGGGGGGTGGAGCCGTGAGGAGAGGGGGCAGGGAGGCACTAGCCCTGGGGGGGGGGAGCCGTGAGGAGAGGGGGGAGGGAGGCACTAGCCTGAGGGGGGTGGAGCCGTGAGGAGAGGGGATGCCATGAGGAGAGGGGACAGGGAGGCACTAACCTGGGGGTGGGGGGAAGCTGTAAGGAGAAGGGCTAGGGAGACACACAGGCTGGGGTGGGGAGCTATGAGGAAAGGGGAGGCCTCATGCACTAGCCTGGCTGCTGCAATATCTCAACCATAAATTCAGCAGCAGGTTTAGTTCTCCTCTCCCCCGCAACCTTTCCCCCTTGCTTTAGGAAGTGACAAAAGCATCTTTTTTGTTGATTGTGTTTGACAAGCGTTATAGGTGGAGCACAGGAAGGGGTGCCAGGCATCTGGTTTTCAACTGGAACACCTGGTCGAAAAGGGACGTTGGCAGTGCTGTTAAGTCAGTGGGGCTAAGGCAGGCTTCTTGCTGCGTGCTGTCCCTGCCCTGAGCGCTGGCTCTGCAGCTCCCAGTTGCCGGGAATCCTGGCCAATGGGAGCTGCAGGGGTGGTGTGAGCAGTGTGCACAGCCACCTGCCTGTGCCTTGGGGCCAGACATGCTGGCCACTTCCTTGAGCAGCATGGAGCTAGGGCAGACAGGCAGCCTGCCTTAGTCTCGCTGCACCACTGATTGGGAGCCACCTGAGGTAAGTGCTGCCTGGCTGGAGCCTGAACCCCCCTCCCAAACCCCCTGCCCCAGGTTGGAACTCCCTCCTGCACCCCAAGCCCCAGCCCTGAGCCCCCTCCTACACTCCAAACCCTTCATCCCCTGCTCCACCCCAGAGCCTGCACCCCCTCCCACACCCCAACCCAAGCCCAGTAAAAGTGAGGGTGGGTGGGGGGGGGGGGAGAGAGCATGAGTGATGGGGTTGGGCTTTAGAGAAGGGGTGGGACAGGTGCTGGGGCAAAGGTATTCAGTTTTGTGCAATTTAAAAGGTGGCAATCCTAAAGGACAGGCAGAAGCTACTTTGCCACCTTAATGTTAAGAGTTTACCTGCACCCCAGCGCAGATTAAAATGCCCTAAGCTGCACTGCAGGTAGAAGGGTAGCCTTGGTCTGGAGCAAATGTGTGCCACTGATAAAGTCAAGAAAATGACTGAATGGAAACAGACATAGGCTAGGCCATGTAGCCCTAGCTACTATACAAAGGAAGTTTGAGTTCTATGAGTGGCTGTTAAGCTGTTTGGGGAACAGCTGCACCGTTCCATACAAACATGGAACAGATGTTAGCTAAGATGGAAATTGCGTTCCTCATCCTTTACATGTTGGTGCTGCAACTGTGGCAGGCTGAGTTGTACACTTGATCCCCAGGAACAGGTCTGGGCTGCAACATACTGCTTACTCAGCAAAGGTAACCAAGAGAACATAACAGCCATACTCGGTCAGACCAAAGGTTTATCAAGCCCTGTATCCTGTCCTCTGACAGTGGCTGATGGCAAGTGCCCCAAAGAGAATGGGCAGGTTATCAAGTGATACATTGCCTGTCACCCAATCTCAGCTTCTGACAAACAGAGGCTAGGGCCACCATTCCTCTCCATCCTGGACAATAACCATTGATGGACCTTTCTTCCATGAATCTATCTAGCTCCCTTTTGAACCCTGTTATAGTATTGGCCTTCACAACACCCTCTGGCACTGATGTCTTCTTTAGAGGGCCACATTTTGTCTAAAGAAGAAATCAGTCTGGACAGAAAGTAGAATCTCAGTTATGAACACCTTGGGAATGGAGGTTGTTTGTAACTGAACAAATTATGGTTATTTTCAAATGTTTACAACTGAACACTAACTTAATACAGCTTTGAAACTACTATGCAGAAGAAGTGAAACAAGCACAGAAAGTTTCCTTACTTTGGCAATTTTTAAAAAACACTTTCCTTTTTAGATTTTGTAGTTCACATTCAACACAGTACTTGTGCTGTATGTGTTTTTTGCTGCTGCCTGATTGTGTACTTCTGATTCCAAATGGTGTGTTGTTGACTGGTCAGTTCATAACTGAGGTTCTACTGTACTAAGGTTGGAAGAAAATTGCAGCCCCAGTAGTTAACATGTAGTAACAGCACACTCATGGATTAATTACTGCTGGATCAGGTAACCTGTATGAAAGTCTCCAATATGATCTACAATATATGCATCATGCTGTTTAATTAAACCTTGCCCCTGTGAATGAATTAGTTGGGTAATTTAAAGTGCAAGCATGTTGAGGCAGGGACCTGTCTCCATTTCCACAGTGCTGCCTATATGCCATCCAAAATTGGGATATAGGATGGTTAAAGTAGTGTGTACTACCTTTTATAGTTTGGGCTTAGTCTTACTACAAATGGTCTCCTACAGCTAGGAATGCTCAGTCCCAGCTGAGTGGAAAGGACAGAATGCAGAGTTTGAAGACTGCTTAGATTAGTACTTTTTCCTCCTCCAGCTATGTGGTTAAAGAGTGAAATAAGCATGACAGGCTGATCCTAATATAGTAATAGGCAAGGACTGGGCTGGTACAGTTCAAATTTATTGGCAGACAGAAGATGTGCTTGCCCTGCAAAGTGGTCCTTTGCCCATGTCAGCTTTTTACACATTGAACATTTATAAGCAATCCTCCATCCAAGCTTTTGGAGAGTTTTCCTTGCAGTTTGCCAATAAATAAGTCACTATGATTTTACCAGTATATTGGCATGTGAGCTCTTTGGTAGTGGGATGTTCTGTTCATATGTGGGCACCCTGTTGGTACACTTTAGCCCAGCTGCCAGGATCCCTAAATTTTGACACACAAAATAATCCAGACAGACTGAGCACCAAGAGCAGCTTTGGAACAGACTCTTTATTTTGCATTGTATCTATTACAGTGTTGGAAACTTAGATACATTTTTAACTCTGAATGTGTATAAATATCTTTAATCTGTACACATCATACTAGTCCACACTAGAGTCAGGTGTATATCCTCACAAGGCCTATCAACCAACCATGGTACAGCTATAATGTACCTCTAAAGGGCCACACATTGGAAAAATAGCCAGAGTTGTTTGACTTTTATAAAAGAAACTTTAAAAAAAAAAGTTGAATCACTGTTGGCTGTTGATGTGGCTACATCCTGAAGTCCCGTTCCCAGACTTTTGATTTGGGTAAACAATCACATACTATTCCTCCCCTTTGTGCCATGCTCACTAGTGGTTTCATAACACAACCCACACATGAGCGGATTTAAAAAAAAAAAAAAAAAAATCAGAACACAGCACCAGCTCCACCCTGGGGGTTTGGCTTCATAGGGGTTAATGCTTTGAGCACTGTTACTGCAGCAGAATAAGCCTTTTAAATGCCATTCCTAGGGCCTGTAACAGTTTGCTTCTAAAAAATGGTAGACATCTTCAGTTTCCAAAGAGGGATCCAGAACAGATGAGGAAAGTTTCCAAAACACTATTCACTCTCCAGTAGCCTTTTCTCCAGCCCAGTATTGTAGCTGGGTCTGACAGTTGTACCCATCTCTTCTCCTCTTGTGCTCCCCAGAATTAATTTTAAAATCCTGATCAGTTGTGACACTGGTTGTAGGTCATTTCTTAACATAAAAATATTCAGTTGGATTATTTTGGAGTTTGCATAGACCTGTGCTGATAAAAGGCTTATTCACTCAGGAGTTTACCATATCTGTAATATGGAAGGGTAAGTGGCAAGCAGGAGTTCAGGTTTACTAGAGAAACTAGATCTGCACCTCCAGTGAAGGAAAGGAAAGTAGGATTCAGATGAAGAGCTCCACCTCCTTTAGGGCTCTTTTGAAGTCACTGCAACAGTTCTGTTATGCAGGCAGCTACTGCGTGTTCTGACTACAGCTGCCTGTCTATATAAGACACCAAGCACAGGTCAAGTCTTAAATGGAAGGAGGATATATACATCCCTTGATCAACAAATTCAGACAATACAGAGAGCTTATTTGCTTTAGGTCAACTGAAGTAGCTCAAGCTCCACACAGTAAAAGGATGAAATCTTAGCCCCAAACTGAAGTGATAAGGTATTAAAGATGACATTAACGCAGGGCCAAAGGAGAAAACTAGAAATTTAGACTAGCTAATTCTAATGTTCTAACTGATGGAGATACTAGAAGCCTGGGATGCTTTGCACTAAAATGAGTAATTCCAAAGGGATCACTCTGATATGAGTCAGCAGCCTCCTAGCCCCATCATCACCTTAATCTGGAGATGTCTGCCACACCAGTCTGATGCAATTCAGTTTTCAGAAGGAGACTGTCAGGAATGCAAACTCAGCACTAGTGCTGTTTTACAGCATGGCATACAGGCCCCAACGCTTATGGATTAGGAAATGTGTCAATGGAGATTTTAGTCTGTACATTTGGCTAAGATCCAAAACGTCACTGAGGTAAGGTCCTCACATTTTTTATGACAGGACAGAATGGTACCTACTGTGGGCAGCCTGAAGAATCTTCTGTTTTCTGATAGTCAAGAGAAAGTAGTACTTTGCTTAGACATCTCTGGTAATTTGCAACATATTAGGAAGTATCTAACCTGGCTAAATACAGAACCAAGCTGAAGTCCATCTGGATTTAGACCAGTTTAACACTAGAATTTGGATCAGTTTTTAGTACTATACAAGGCCTCTGCATCAATGGATCTTCTGTTTTTTGCTACTGCAATGTTATAAGCCCCTTTGGGACACCTTGGTTCGACACTGTCATAGTTGAAGCTTTACTGCACCCTTTAAAAAGGTCAGAACATTCATGAGTTCTAACTGGACTGCTGGGTTGTGAGAACATGCCAAGACAGCTTATGAGAGAAGAGGCTGTGCTGTTTAATGCAGTAGTGTTGAAGAGGCTGGTCTAGGAATAACCCCCCCCCCCACACACACACACACAACCAAGAGTGCTTCAAGTTATGATACATGCAGAGATCTGAGAATTATGAGGGAAGGGATCCAGTATAATGGCACAGATTAAACTTCTTCTAAATACTTTGAGAGATTTCATTGTACCAGTTATCTGCCCTGGTCATGTACTAGAGACTAGAGAAAGCCAAACACTAGCAGTTAACTGTAATTGCATGCTTGCTTGAGGATCCTTCCTCCAATTATCCCCGACATGTTCTGTGTTGATATTGCTTTCACTCTGGGTTGAAGTGCTATTGCTCTAGGTAACCAATACAGAGGAGGTACTGCCAACAGTCAGGAGTCCCTAAACGACAAGAATGGTAAAACTAGTTTTCATAGCTAGCATCCACGGGGTATGCCATACTTGGAGGTATGCTAGATGCGCACAATTACTGAGCAATATAGTATGCAGGAAGTAAACTAGCCTCCAAAGTGTTTTGGGAGCACCTAAGAGATGGTGGTCTGAGAAGATAAGTGTACAAAATAGACCCCAGACCTAGGGGATTTACGATACCCAAGTTGCTGACAGCACAAACTTAGCACTGAGGTTAACTGAACGGGTTGGCATAGTCTGTAGTGCAACCACTGCATGCAGTGCAGTATTGATAGGAAAAAAGGCCATAGATTGTTTAACAAAACAGTAATATTCAAAATAAAAAGTAGACCCATAAGATGAATGCTTGAATTTCAACATCTCTTGTAGGTCTACACGGCACTTGTGAGAGCTGAGAAAAATAGAAGCAGCTTACATGCAGGGGGGGGGAATGAATGTTTGTTAAAAACTAAGTGGCACACCCCAGGACAGCATTTGTGGAGGTTCTGGAGAGAGCTTAGCTACAGACACTTAGCATAAATTCAACAAGGTTGACATCAGCATGGATTCTCCTGCACTCTGCAAGAGCAGCTTTCCAAAAGCCAAACTTGTTCCCTAATATCAGTTGTAAAGTTCCAATTCAGAAGACAGCAGGAAGGGATGCCCTTTTCACAAGATTTGTTTTTTTGGTTTTGTTTTTTTTTGGGGGGGGGGGGGAGGGAAGGGCAGGGTGCAAGATTTTTTTGGTAAACCAATTATTCCCCCATTTTCTATAAAAAGATGTCAAGCTAATTACAAGAAGGAACAATACCTCAATAGGTGGCTTGGGCTTAAGTATTAGTTTCTCTGGTTGCTAAGGGAAGGTTTGAGTTGTAATTTAGACAGTAGTTTACTGCTTTGTGTAGGAATGGCTCTTGCTATCAAGGACAAGAAGCAAGCTTCCTCACAGCAGGAAGATAGTAGGGCCACTCTGAACAAAAAGCCATCCTTACTACCTCTGCAGCTTTTGCTACAAGTTTGTTAGGTAGTTCCACATCATTTCAGTCTTATTTCAGGGACCAAAAGTCTCATTTTAAAAAAGCGATCTTGCAAAGCCGATCCCAATGCCTCTTCATGCTGCAATGAATGGAAGAAGCTCCGATGGAGTGAGGAGCTCCATTTCTTTTACATGGTCCTGAGGTAATGCACAGAACAAATAAAACCTTGGGTTTTAAGTGATTTACATCAGAAGACTACAATTGTGGATGAATCAAGATCTTTTGGTTACCTTTTTGCTATTGAGATGCCATCCTAAAGCCATGGAGGTATCAGGCTCTATCCTAGAAGGATATTTTCTCTTCACCACAGTCCTAATATAGTACTCTGGTTCATGTAACACCTCAGATAGCTGACTGGTGGAATAGCAGCTCCAAGAATGTCTCCCTCATCAGTTAAGGGACCACTGGGTCACAGGTGGCTTTGGAACATTTCTCATAAGGCCTTCCACATAGAACCTGTCTATGGAAGGGATACATTACTGCTTTTCATTTGCCAAAGAGGGAGCCTTTTTGGAAGAGTAAAAGCAAGATGGGGCTCAGTATTGACCAGATATCACAGAAAGACACAGCCTCATGGGAGAGAGAGCTGAGGAGGAAGGAAACAGAGTCCCATACACGTCTTCTCCAGTTCTGGGTTTCAAAGTTGTTAACTTCCCTTGGCTGTAGATCCAATTTCAAATACAATATGAATATCCAGAGTCTAGTTGGTAAAAAAAATTAGACACTGAATAGGTTTACCCTAAGCTTAAAATAAGGTTTTATTGATTGTAGAACGGTTCAATCCCACAGTGAATTTTACCATCTCCATGAAACTGATCATATGAATTTTGTTCCTCTGAAGCCCTTCACTTGATAACAGTTCCTATTCAACAACTCGTTATTTCCTACTGGTAAACAGCTTGATTCTGCAGATTTAGCCCAACCCACCTGCAGGCTTTCAGGTAGCCTGGCTACCACATTCTGTGGTCACATCCAGCCCCTGAAGGTCTCCCAAACAGCCATGCAGGAGAACAGTCCTTTTTACCCATCCACATTCTCTTCTTACTCTCCACAAAGTGGGTGTCTGCTTATACATCAATTCAGGACAGCATTTTTTAATTTCAATGATCCCTGCAAAGCAGTTTGCTACAGCATCCATTTCTCTTCCAGATCCACTGCTGGATTATTTGCAGATACAGAAAGAGGTGAGAGAAAGGTGTCAGTGCAACAACTGAGCTTTAGGGTACATCCTAGAACCTAAAGTACCGTATGCATGGCCATGGGAAACATCATTGATGCTAGTGCTGAAAGGCCTACAAGTGGAAGGAAAAATAGCAGCAACCCCACCCCCCCGCCTGCCTCACAAAAGAGACAGGAGAAAGAACACCCATGTGTAGAAGCGTCACTTAACCCACAGTTGCTCACGGATATTTTTAATGGGGAAATAAAATCTCTTGAGGCAAGCAAGATTCTTGAATAAGACTGGACCAATTAGATTGTAGGTAGGCTGACCCCAGCATCCAGGAATATACTCTGTGATCATACTGATGGTATTTGAGACCTTAAGCAGAAGGCTAGGCTTGAATTTGAATATAAAGCCAGATTGCTTATTTCTTCATCTTCCATCAACTGCATAAGGATTCATTAGAAGAGATTTTAATTTGCATGCTCTCCTTTAACAAACTACCCCAATACATATTACATTGAACTACACAATGAATCCTTCTTTCATAAAAGCCTCAATACAAAAGACTTCTCAGCAGCTAACCCAAGCTTTAGAAGATGGACAAAAGGATTTCTCCCCCCTCTGTTTAAAGAGAAGAGGGAGGGGATGCACACTAGCCATAGGCATGTGAGTGAGCCACTGGGCTAATGTAAGTGGCTTGTCAAGTAACCTCACAAACCTTAATACATTTTTTTAAAATGCAATATTCAGTTTCATTCTTCACAGATAAATGAAGGTTCCAATTTTAATGTGTTCGCTAGGAGTCCAAGTTCCCTGGTAGGTTTCTAAAGATCCTGCAATGGCACAGCACTCCAATACACCAACTAAGCTTTCACACGTGCTCCACAAGGCTCTCTAATATTAAATAATTCACCCCAAACTTGTACTGCAGCAAGTGATAAAGGAACTTTATGCATTTAGAGATCACTCTAGCCACAGTCAGCTACCAGTCAAATGCACCGATTTTTTTTTTTAAATGTGAAGGACTTGTGAAATTAGATTTCTTGATTTCATACAACTGGCACCATGCTTTGTTTCTTACCCTCTTGAAATTCTCAGTCCCAAAGGCATCAAAACTTGCACTTGCTTAGGACAGCAAGAACAGGGAGGGGATACACTCAGCAAGTTTATTAGACACCTCGGTGAACCATGTTTCCCCATCCCCTTCCCTCAAATCCCAAAATTGTTTGGGTTCTCCATAGCCTATTGTGTTTTACATCACTCTTGGCTAACTAAACTCAATCTGGAAAAGGAGTTTAAGACAAATCTATGTTTGCTTGTACAGTACGTGAGTAAACAGAGGAAAAAGAAGCAGGACAACCAGTGAGTGAGTTCATAGACCATCATTTCCAGGTGTACCTGCCTCACAGTATTCTATTTACATAAATTACAGAAATTTCATATATATTTTTCTCTGAAGCCCAATTAGACAAATATCTACCTATATATAATATATAAAAAATACAGAGCTTTGACTCTTCCTTTTGAAGTAAAATGTACATGATCCAACTGTGAGCAGAAAGTAATCCTGAAAACTCAGGCCCTTTGCTACTGGAGTTAACACCGCACACAATGCTCCTGTCAAGTGTAGCTATGCCCTCCTTCCTCCCCACCCCATAACAAATAATCCACCCCCACCCCATCCATTCAGAAAAAAATCCAAATCTTAATACATGTTTTCATGAAACAATTTTCAAGTAAAGATGAAGATGGGTTTCACCATTTCAACAGTTCTGTGACTTCAATCAGTAGCAATGCAAGCGAAGCCCGTGCAATGACAGCTGTGCTTCCTCTTTTCAAAGACCACCAAAACATCTCCCCCACCTGTTCACAATTACCATCTTTGGGGTTTTGTTGCTTTTTTTTAAATACCAATAACAGTTCTTTAAAAAAAAATTAATATTTTTAAACAAAGGGAAAAAATCCTTCCCCAGGAAAAGTCTCCCCACTTCTCCTTTGTCCATTTACAGTATGTTTCAAGGGGAACTTGGCCCATGTCCAATGGCGCGGTCCACTGAAGGAGAGCTGTGAAAACGTGAGGGGCTAAACTTTGCTCTTGGCAGATTAGAGTCTTTAACAAAGAGTAAGATGTGCAAAAAAAATTAAATAGATCAACCCTAGCTTCCAGGATTAATGTTGTCAGAGAAGAGAATGCTTAACTTTTGATTTGTGTTTTTCCCCCCCACCCACCCCTACTGAAATTTCATTTAAGTACCCGAGGTAACAAGTGACAATATTTGTGAAAGATCACCACAAATTAAAACAAGAGGTGCAATTTGTTACCTCCGTGTCCTTCCTCCACCTTGGTGCCTGCTTTAAAGACATGTATGCAGCAGCAAAAAAAGTGTAAAAAATAAAATCCCCTTCTTTCCATGAGAGCAAAGCATTGCTTCTAGTTGTTCTTGAAGGAGGAACTGTTTCCTAATGGGTGGCGTGGGTGTTTGCGCCTTCTGTTTGTAAGGAGGGGGAAATGGGACTATAACTCTGGCTGCTCCCAGTTGATTTCTGGCAAGTTCATGGTGTTCTTCCCCATCTGAACACATTATAGCTGGAAGCCTTCCATAGGGGCCTCAGGCTGCTGGAAGATGAATTGCTGCTGGTTCTCATCTACCTGGGGAGCCAGGTTGGAGTCGTCATCCTCTACTCCAAAGTAGTGCTCAATCAAATCAAAGGCCTTCTGGTAGATTTCCTGGTTCTCATGACTCTGCAGGAACTCTATCTTATCCAAGCCTTAGGAAAGAGAAAAATGGAATGTGGCAAGACTGATCAGAACATCCATATTATTCCCTGCCCCCATCCATCCTTCACCCTTTCAACTGTTTGGGGCCACAAGACCACCATTCGTTCAGCTTGCATTTTGCCCACCTACCCCTTCTCCCCCCTGCAAGGCCATGCCCCCTTCCCACCTACCCCCCTATTCCTTTTACCCCCCAAGGCCACCACCTCACCTTACATGTGCGTCTTCTCCAGGCACCCAATTAGTCGAGCCATGCTTGTGTGACTCCATAATAAGGTGGGTGTCCCTTCATTCTCTCGTGTGTGGCTGCCCAGGAGTGCACCTTAGAGGGAACTATCCACGGACCACCTGAATGGAGCTTACGGACCACTGGTGGTCCATGGACCAGTTTGAGAACGTCTGCTCTAACACATATCCTGCATTACTTCCTCCTGGGAAGGAGTCACGATAACAAGGCCAGTGAGAGCCACTTACCATAGGCTTCCTCAATGAGGCTGCAGTAGGGGTTGATGCCTGTGCCACTTTGCTTGGCCTCCTGCTCACCGAGCCGCAGGATATTCTCCAGGCCATTCAGGGCCACTTGAACAATCTTGGAGTCCATGACAGTCAGCAGGTCACACAGAGGTTTGATACAGCCTAGGTTTACCAAGTACCTGAAGAGAAGGCACAGGGAAGACAAACAAACATTCAGTTTATCAGGAAGGAAGGTTAAGTAACAGTGTGGCATGCATTTAGGTTTAAAGGGCCACTGTCAGGTTTAAGGAAATTTGTATTTTAAATATTGCCTAACAGGTAATACCCTTTTCACCATTAGCTATGGAAGCTGGGTGTTTAAATTAGGCACTTTAACCTCTCTCTCAAGAGCTAACAACCAGGGCCCTTATTTACAATGTGTTAGCACTTAACTCCCATTGAAGTCAGAATCCAGATGTATTAAAGGTGCCTGATTTTATATGCAGGCAAGTTTGACATTCTACTCTGGTTTGTCCAAGCTTTGACATTTACTTTGAATGACAAAGTAAACTATGAAACTGGAGTCATCTGTATCACTTGTTTACAGTCAGATGCACTATTTAAATCCCAACAAAAAACTTCACTGGAATTAAAAAAAAAAAAAAAAAAGATTCCCATGGGTCTTAAATTTTGCAGCATATCTTTAAATTTAGCCTATAGTTAGCCAGGTATTTATACTCTGATACTGTGAAAGATTTATACCCAACATCTGTTTAAATTTAGACTTGCAAAATTATTTGTGCATTTCCTACACAAGCTGCAGAAAAAACAAAGTTACCACCACTAACTCACCTGCATAGAGTCCATATTACATTTTTCCTGTGTAAAGCACACAATACTGACAAAGTGATAGGAGCACCTTGTAATGCTGCTGCTGCTGCTATTAGATGCACACTTAATAAATTTTAAGGACACAGAAATGTATTTTGAATGAAGCAGAACAGAAAGGGTTTAAAACGCAAGAGCAAGTACCAATGGATTAGGAAATTAAAGTACTTCATTGGGTTTTGAATTGTACCCAAGCCAGAGTGTCAGCATATGCACATGATGCAAACTAGATACTTCAGAATTATACTGCATGGCCAACATGCTGAAGACTTGTAAGTACATCCTTTGTGTGGCACAAGATTTTTAAATCAATACTGTTTATGCTACATTTGAGGTGTGTTTTAGTTATATAAAACCAAGTTACACTAAGCTATAGCTCAGACTTTGAATATGAACAATGACTCTTCTGGTTCTCAACAGCTACAGTCTCAATGGTGACTGCAGAAGCAGCACCAGTAAGTTACCCCTACTTGAATGGCTTTACAGCAAAAATGTATTCTCTTCATTGAAAGAATTAGAGCCTAGGGAAAGCTAGATACATGCTGGATCTCTGAATACATCTTGGAGCTTCTTTCAAGGCCAAGGTAACCAGAGGAGTCGATGGACAGATGGCCACAAATGCGGATGGCAAACTGATTGTACAAAGTTGCTATAGTTTCATGGAGTCAGAGACAAACTACAGATAAAACAGCCTCTCAATTTACCTGATCTGCTCTGGGGTTCCTCCTGATGTTGCATTCGTGATGGCCCAGGCTGCCTCTTTCCTTGTGCGGAATTCTGCTTTCTGTAAGATTTCTATCAGCACTGGGAAAATGTTTGCATCTATGACTGCCTGAAGGAAGAAGAGAGACGCAGCATTTAGAACAGGCCAAGTGACTCCTAAAAAGGTAGCAGGCTCCGGGAACAGAAACCTATAACCTTTTCAGTATCCCCATCTGCTTTCCCTACCATGTCCTGTAAGTGTAAGATTAAGTTTACAGTCCAAGAACTTAAATCTCCTATTGTTGCACCAATACCACAGGAAGTCTTTGGTCACTGTGTGCATCTGTTTGGATATAAGCCCTTAGAAAGGATAATAATCAAATGCTGTACACCCATTGAAAAGCACTATTCTAAGTGTACGTCTGAACTTTGGAACCACAATGAAGAGGCAGATTAATCCTCATCTCCCCAAGCTCACTCAGTGATTAGACATTTAGAGCATGTTTCAGACCAGGCTCCATTTGTGGGCACAATTAGCATCACTTAGATGTCTAAATATCATTGTGGGTGCAGTCAAGTAGGACACTAATTGTGCCTGCAAATAACTAGAGAAAAAGGGAAGCCCAGGGTGTAAAATGTGGCCCTTAAAACACCAACTAAGAATCACATAAGCTTTGTTTTAATGGTGCTCCGTGGATCCAAGAGTGCTGCAGGTGGACCTGCCGAGGATTCTAGAAACTGTACCTGTATCTGAGCCCTGTTTCCAGCTGTGATGTTAGAAATGGTCCAGCAAGCTTCCTTCCGGATAGACTCTTTGGGGCTGCTTAATAAATGAAGCAGGCAAGGCAGAGCTGAGCAGTTCAAGATCACCTTAAGAGAAGAGTACAGGATAGGATGACACCGTTCGCCTTCCTCCGCTTCCATATAGAGGATACTTCCAGCACATCTTCACTGAATTCTTATGGGGAAGAATATTTTCTTCCAACATTTTCCAGAAACTCCTGCCACTGAATGAGGTGTTCCATTCAGCAGCAGCAGGAAGAGAATGCTTTTCCTATCCCAAAGAGGCATGTGTAGGATCAGACATCCCAATTGCAAAGTGCTCTACCAGGAATGTGCTGTATGTGGTTCAGGAGGTAGACAGAAGACAAGCCTCCCTCCGCTGCATCCTGCTCCTCATCTCCTGTTGTAGGAGAGCTCAAGGAGGAGGCGGCAGCAGAATGAGTCATCCCTAGAGTTCTTGGATGCTGGAAATTAGGAATTTCAATGACTGGAGTCCTGAGATTTGTTTCCCTACACACACATTGGCTACAATGAGATGCTCGTATACAGTATATTTTTCATAAGCACCAATACATAGAAGAGACTTTTGTTGCAGCTAAATCTTGAACCATTCCATCATGGCTCAGTTCATCTTATGGGCAACCCTGCAGGTTGAGCCATTCCTGTTTTGATTAAGGGGTGGGTTTTCTAACCTAGATTTCATCTTCTAGTGGCAAGTCTAGAAATCTGAGCGCAGATCTGTCATGAGATCTTTACCCCATCGTCTTAGTAATAATCTGGGTTTTTATCTGAGACATTTGAAATGCTCCCTCCTGCTCAAACACTGAATTTGAGAAGACCTAGTAACATCCCACTCACCTGGGTCTGGATGTCATCACCCGTCACAATGTTGCCTACAGCTCGCAAAGCTGGGGAAGCTACTTTATAATCATTGTGCCTAAAAGAAAGAGGAAGGGAAAGAAACATCAGTCCAAGCCCTTTGCAACAGAATCCCTCCACCCTCCTCACCCCCCAACATCACCCCCATTTGGTTAAAATTCCACCATCAGAAGTATACAGCAAAACGTGTCCAAACCAAAGACTGTCATTGAAAGAGCAAGGATTGTGTCACCATAAGAACATTCTTTATCCTCTTACAACCATAAGCTTCATCATGGACCACTTCTTGTCACCTTCAAATCACTCCTAAACTTTAGTCTTTCATGCCCCTCCTCACTGTTGTGGCATCCAATTAACAGTAATTAGAACACTCCTGAAAATGCATTCTGCAAACCCTCAAGATGCAATGCAAATGAAAGCCATTTGCATTAGACAACACAAAATCAACAAATCTAAAATAGAGCAATGACTCTACAGATAGTTCGATGGATTACAGGAGTGTCAACAAAAGACAAGTTTATTTGGAATGTGCTGTATTTATTTGGTTATTGATCCTTTTCTTCTAACATTATAATAGAGCCAACAAAAGATTACTTTAAGCTTCCACAGATGAGTTTTAAAGCATTAGAGCAGCACAGAGTGTACGGTCTTAGTCTGGCATCAACACCATAGCCTTTGCACATTCATGGGTTAGACTAGCTCTCAGGACCAGCATTGTCTTTCTGTATCATGCTCTTCCTAGCATAGGGCACTACAGCTACACTTCCAGCACTATACAGAGACTTTTCCCCCCGTCCGATAGGCCAGCACAACCCATGTCACATATTCCCACATACCCATCGATACTAGATAATCCCTCTGACACAAGCAGCCTTATTTTTCCGCTTCACCTTGGTAAGCAAAGGGTTAACAAGACAAACCCATATTCACATGGGCTGTTCAGTCCAAGGTCTTTGCCTCTTATGCAGGGCAACACACTTACATTAACAGCTCTACCAGTCGCCGACACACCCCAGAGTCTATTACTGCTTGGATTTTCTCATTGGGGCCATCTGATAGGTAGGAGAGTGCCCAGCAGGCATCTGCCAGCAAGTCGGAGTCACTGCTGAATAATAATCGGGACAATACCGGCAAGCAAGGAGACACCTAAAAGAATAACCAACAACCCCCACCCCGGAGAGAGAGTTTAGAAAAGGTTCGTTGAGAAGCGGCAAGGCAGCTGTGTGTGCAAGCATGCCAAATGTCAGTGTGTGTGACTAATTAACTGGATGCCATCCTATGGGTGGGGTTCTCACCTAGATTTCTAAACCTACCACAATTAACAGTACCAAAGAACTGGTTCAAGTAACATCAGAAACCAAAGTTTCCATTCATACATTTGATACCTAGGACCTTACATATATTGTTCAGGGGCCAGTTGTCTGACAAAGTGTTAGAGTCGTTGATGTAATACGGGTAGTTTTGGATACACAGATTCCTACATAGTTCACATAACCTTGTAGCAAAAGAGATTCAAGTTACAACAGGGCCTCTCCAACGCTCACTAATCCAGCATATAGGGGTCATCCCTCTCCAAAACTAATATCCAGTTATAAGCTTTTTACCATTCTTTATAAAATGAGCAACAGCTGGACTGTTTGCAGCTTGGATGACAAGCACTCTTCTCATGTAAGAAAACCACCTCATTTCCTGCCCCTTTGATAATCTTCAACAGCCAGTACTGTTGACAGGGACCCCCAACAGTCACCACCATACTTGGTAACCTATGTAACGGTGCACAGCCTTACACATACTTCTAACTATCCATCACTGCAGCTTCTTCAGCCTTATCAAGGGAGTTGTCAAGTAACAGACCTTAACCACAGTGTTAAGCAAAATAGGGAGCAAAGATCGTCCAGTCCTGCTTAATGTTCATGCTGTTACGGACCATCTTTTTTAGATGACAGGGGCACCAAACGGAAGGGGTATAGAGAAGAGAAGGCCTTCCATTGGGTAATAAGTAAGTCTGCTGTGAAGGATTTCTATATTTTGAAGTTTGGTTTGTTCCAAATTGGAACAAACTCCAAAGTTCTGCGTTCTCCACTAAAGAGAATGGAGCCCCAGCTCTGGGGCAGCCTGCATGGCCTAGATCAGGGGTTGGCAAACTACAGCCTGGGGGCTGGATCTGGCCCCCGAGCGGTTTTAATTCAGCCTTCAAGCTCCCCTTGGGGAGCGGGGTCTGGGGCTTGCTGCGCTCCAGCCAAGGAGCGGGGTCGGGGGCCGCTCCATGCGGCCCCCAGAAGCAGCAGCATAGCTCCTCTCTGGCTCCTATGCTTAGGGGCAGCCAAGAGGCTCTGCTCCACACACTGCCCCCGCAGCTCCCATTGCCTGGGAACTATGGCCAATGGGAGCTGCAGGGGTGGTGCCTGTGGATGGGGCAGTGCATAGCAGAGCCACCAAGCCATGCTGTGACATAGGAGCCAGGGTGGGGGAGGGGACATGGACATGTTGCTGCTTCCAGGAGCCACTTGACGTAAGTGCCACCCAGATCCACCCCCCACACACCCCAACTCCAATTTTGTTAGCATTCATGGCCTGCCATATAATTTCTATACCAAGATGTGGCCCTCAGTCCAAAAAGTTTGCCCACTCCTGGCCTAGACTCTGGGGTCCCTGACTCAGACAGTCCAGCAGGTGGACTGCCAAGGAGCCTAGGGATGGAAAGCTAGCAGGAAACAGGCAGGTTTCAAAAGCTACCTAGCAGCCCTTGTCCCATGAGGCCCCCGCCTTATTACCAATAGAATTTCATCAAAATTGAACCATCTCCATCAAATGTTTAGACGGAGATCAGCAAACTCCAAAAAATGTTAGTCTGAATGTTTCTTATGACCTCTAGAGGTAGCAGACCTCAGGGTCTTTCTGGGGTTCCCTCTCCACAACAGCTTCTGTTCCCATTAACAGGAAAGGATTCATTCCTCACCTTGTCAAATTCAGGTGGTGGGTTCTTCCCTCTGCACAAGTTTGACAAGGCCCAGACAGCATTTCGAGTCATTGTCAACCTGGTGGACTTGGTGAGGAGCCTAAAAAGAGAAACAACAGCTATTATACTCCCAGGTTAAGTCAGTTGAGTTGTCTTTAAACCAGCACATGATTCAATATGAAGGAACACAATAAGAGTCCAAGAGGTTCGAGACAGCTGCACCCACTTGCTAAGCCCAGGTCTGAAAAATTCAGATCATGCTATTGTTGTATATTTCATGAGCATCATGCGCAGACCGTGAGGAAAGATGAACTGTGGGTACCCCTAGGGCAGAAACAATAGCTGTTTAACAGCACAACTCTGAACAGGAAGCATATACTGTCTTCAACTAAAATTGCTAGGGGGAATTTAGGTTGGCAGAATGCGATTTCTCAAGACTGAAATTTGGCTAAGACATCCAGATAAGCGCCCACACTGATGAAGAGGTCCATGGGATCTTCAGTGACCACAAGTAATCAGGACCTCATTTTTAGATCTCATCTGAAAAGATCAGCAGCTTTAGGACCCCAGAATACTAGTTCAGTACTGACCCAGGAACAACGCTATTTGCAATACAATCAATGCCACTTCTTGCCAAGGAAACCACTCAAGACTACACAACTGTATAGAAATTATGGTGAAAGATTTCAAAATGCTTTCAACAAACTGGGATTTCTGCTGGTAGCAACCTCATTGCCAGTGCTGACAGTATGGAAGATTTATCTTGTGGTAAAGTGCATTTCAGGAGAAAACCAGCTTTTAAAGAGCTAAATCATTGACCTTCTTAGAGGGTCCAGTTGAAATTAGAAGCTTTGTTCTTTAACACTTCATGGTTCATAAAGAGCGAGAAGTTCCCACCCAGCTTTTTGGACTCTGCATGAAATAAGATGGGGCAACGTGGTGCTTTCGTCTTGGACCATGACCAGCTCTGTGCACCTGTCACAATCACCACCACAAATAAAACCAATCCCTTAGTTCTTGGACAGAAAAAAAAAAAAGTCACCAGCTTAGCCTCAAGGAGCCTGAAGTCAGCAGCTACTGTAAGAAGAGGCTGTTGATTTACTTGCACCATCCGTGGCAAAGCACTTATCTTGCTACTAGAAGCAGCATCAGTTCACCCAGAACAGGATGGGGTAATTTAGACTGTTTTGAGAGTAATTAATATGGCTAGTACTTGAAAGCCCTCAGTCTAGGTGAATCTTCCCATCTCCATTTCTAGTGTGCTGAAGCAGTTGTCAGGACTTGTGTGTTAAACAGAGGCAGAGAGCAGAGTGCAAAGACCTTCTTCTCCTCAACCCTGGGAAGACCTCAGACTAACAGGTTCCTGAAGTTTATAGTGTAGCTGTATCTCTTTGGGTTCTCTGCACTTACTGTATATGCACTTCTAAATAGCCCCTGTGACTTCAGAAAGGGCTGTCTGGCATACTCTGCAGCAAGAGCTCATGCCATGCACAGCAAGCGTAAGGATGTGTGAGGTGAGTTGTCTAGCAAGTTGTATCAGACACCAGTCTGAACTACTGCTAATTCATCTGATGCCTATTTGCAGGCTAAGATGACTCCCAACCCCCACACACACTCTTCAGTAGTTCTGTTCACTCAACCTGGACACCAAGAGGATACTCTGCTTTAGTACACAGGGGCTTTAAGAACTGTATTGCCAAGTGTTCATGGCTACTCACAGTAACAAGGGAGGAAGAATAGAGCAGTTAAGGACATAATCTCTACACACAGAGCTGTCTCCAGCGATGTTCCCCAACGCCCAGACAGCCTGGAAGGAAAGAGCAGCAGTTTTAGCGCACACAGTCTCTGAATAGAGGATGAAGGGAGCACTGTCCTAGGAAAGTGTTTCTAAGACTCCAAATAACTAGGCCAGACTGACAGAAGCTCCAGCTCTGGAGCTACTTGCTAAACACCTTCATGCATGTTAAACACTTAGTTGAAATCCAGTGTCTATAACACTCAGCCTATCCCCAGAAAACTAATGAACCATACCTGTTCTTGGACATCCTCAAAGTCAGAGTTTAACAGCTCTATGAAGATAGGAACTGCCCCAGCCTCAATGACTATTTTTGTTTGTTGGGAGGTTCCTGATGCAATATTCGTCAAAGCCCATGCCGCTTCAAACTGAAACAAGCAGATCAGTAACAGGTTACAGAGCAGCTGCACAATGGCATAAGCTCAACAACCCTAACCAGAGCAAAACATTTGCTATTGATTTTAGTCTATCCTCTTCATCTTGTGCTCTCATGTCTACGGGGGGGGATTGTTTTACAAGGCAAAAAGTTTTCCTCCACAATCTAGCTGGATGATTGCTCACTGAGCATACTAGTTTCTGGCACAACAATGGTAGTTCGAGGGAAACCTACAGCTTTTTTAGGAGTGGGGTGGATTTTGGTTACCCAGGGTAGATCCTGCCCACACCCACCTGAAGCAAAGGGAATATCATTTTACAGGTCTTTGACACTGAAAAACTGAAGCAGTTGCACACATTTGTCTCATCTCTCTGCCAACACTGCAGTTCTCAGCATGGGATTAACAAAGCCAAAGCTCACTTCCACTTTCAGTGGTCAGGCCAGGAAGCACTACCTCAATGATACTACACCCCAAAGCCTCAGACCATTTCCCACTATGAGGAACATAGTCTCAAGATGGCCCAGAAGAGTTCCTGACCAGATCTTTGTATTGGGTGGGAAGCGAAAAGATTTTTCTACTCAAACAACCAACTCTATCCCATGCCACTCCCCGGATACCAGCACAGGTGCGGCATTTGTAGCTCTGAGCCCCAGGTGAGGTAGAGCTTCATATTTTGCTCTTTATCTCCCTGCTGCCCTCTTTTATGAGTGACTTTAATGGCTAAGCTCCCATTCAATTCTCCTTGGAGATGGATTCCTATGACATGACACCTCCTGGAGGAAAAGGAAGTAGATGACCATCTGCCTAACACCCTCAGTCAGATGTGGGAAAACGCAGTCTCCTCAAAGAGAGGCTCGTACTCTGCAACTTCTGGGCTCTAAGATGCCACCTTTCCCTGCTTGTTGCTGTAAGGTTCACACTGCTCAGCTCTGAAGTGTCATCTTAAATAAGTGCTTTTTATTCACAATATGAATCCTTCATGGTTCTCTCCTTTACCTGTAGTGTGCAATTTTCACTTCTCTTCAGGAATTCAACAAACCTGTCCACCACTCCCTGAGTATTTATCACTTCGTCTATCGGAGGATTCGGCTCTAGAAAGAGGAAGGCAGGCTCAAAACTCAATAGGGGTATTTGAATTTAATACAGGAGACCTAGTTCATTGCATTAAATCATCCACTCCAACGATTTTAACTTGTACTTGAGCTGACAAGGCATCTAGCCAGAAGAAGGCTTTTTCCACACTTCACCCAGCTGTGGGTCACTGGAGCATTTTCTAAATGCTGAAAAGCCAGTAAAAGACAATACTAATGGTCAATATAGGTTTGGTATTCCCTCCCCACCCAGTGTTAATCAGGAACAGACGTGCCAATGGGCATAAGTGACATTAGATGGAATTCTTCTGCCCCCAAACCCAAAGTTATTAATTCTCTGTACAGCACCAAGACTGTGCTAAGTGCTTCACACAGCTAAGAGAGTTACCTGTGAGAGCTTGCTAAGAAAAAGGACCTCTGCTTTTACCTTTGGAGAGCAGTTTCCTGAATTTCTGGGTGGTTGCTAGCTGCAGATCAGGGTCCTCCGAGAAAAGCATCTCCACCATCTCTCTTGTGATCACTCCCTCCTAAGAGGGCAGGAAGGGCAAGAAAAGCAGCGTCAGATAGAACCATAACTCCAAACTTATGGTTGCAAACCTCAAAGTCAGAACTTAGTACCACCAGAATCCTGTGCTCATCCTTTTGATCTGAAGACTAATCCAAGTTAGGACCACACTACTCTTGAAAGTCTAATCCTGGAAGGCTTTGAAAACTTACCAGAGTCCCATCTGCAATATTTGTAGAAGATAGGAGTACAAGGGGTTACGAAGGGTAGTGAATTAAGGAGTACTAAGGCATGATACCTATGCATTTGTAAAGGGTTAAAGTTTGTTGTTGATTTTGTGATCCACAGAATTAAAAGTCTGTGTAAGGGAGGGACTAAGTTACTCAAGAAGCCTTACCCCAGCTGTGGTAGTGCTGACATAGGAATCCATGAGGAGGCTATCAAACATGGCAGCATCTTCATTAATAAGTTCCACATTTCTCCTTTTAAATAGCTGAAAAGAGATAACCAGAGTGAGTGGTATCTGTCACGAGGCAATGCCGGACTTAGAGCCATCACAACTGGGCAGTCTTGTTCCACAAACGCAACATGCCATCTGCTAGACCAAGTGCAACTTAATAGGAGAGTGGCAGCTTAACACACTAGCTGAGCACCTCTGCAGAATAGTTTGACCTATGAATCCTGGTAAGAGCGGACCAAGTCCTACCCTTAGTTGTATCCATGGATTTCACTGGGACTGTATGGTGTAGGCAAGTGCAGAACTTGGCCCAATGAGTTCAGAAAAGAAGAGCCAGGTTGTGGACCAGGGTTGAGGCATAGGAAGAGCAGTGTGGGAGGCTTGCAGCATTTGCCAGTTCTACATGTGGTTCTAGCTACAGTATCATTTTTACACACACCCACCCACCCCCCCAATTAAAAAAAAAAGCCACACACCAAGGACAAGGAAAAGCTGTAGCTCATGTGTTTATTTTTTTTTACTTGGTCTTCCTGCTCCTCAACAGCAGGCAGTGCCATTTTTTAAGCTGGCCACAAAGTCCTTAGATTCCAGCCCGCAAAAAAATAAAAAAATATATATGTATATATAGATGAGCAGATCTAAGAAGCCTTCCCCTTATCCATGATCACAGAAAGCCAGACAGAATTCCACTGTGGTATCTGAGCGCTGCATTTGCGGCATGTACAATACCTGTGAATCCCACAGGGAGCAGAGAGCTCTCCAGACAAGCCACATTCTGAACAAGGGTGTGGAAAAACCCCCAGAAACATTCCACATCCATATGCGGAAGAGGCCCAGAGAGGGGGGGGGGGAAAAAAAAGGAAAAAAATGACCCATCAACTCTTCATCAGCTGGCCCCTTGAAGGGGCAACTGTTGGGTAACAAAACATTTCTGGTTGAATTAAGCCCCTGAACATCCCCCTCCACGCAGGTTACCAAAGGGCAGGTTACCTGTTGCTCTCGTTTCTGTTTGCGTAGTTGGATCCCCTCCTCTTCCCTTCGCCGACGCATTTCCTCAGGGTTTAGGGCTTTGTTTTTGTAACTCTTCATTCGATAGTTATCCTTATCCTTCGCGGGACTTGCCATGGTTTCTATGGAAGGAGAAACCGGAAAAGTAGTATCAGATTTCACTGCAGTCATACTGCCCTTCTGCCCCAAGGAAAATGGGAACACACATTGTTAAACTGAACTTTTCAGTGTGATGGCACACAATCTCTTAAGAAGATAAGATGCAGTTTCGATATCCAACTTAGAAAATGCATTGCTGACCTCGTGTGTTGCATTAGTGAGAATGTTCTAAGCTAGACACAGACATCTCCACCACTCTGAAAAGCACCCTGGACCTGTACTTCACTGTAGGAGGCACATTTCTCACTGTGTGAGGTTAGTACTCACTGAACTATACCATTGTCCTCAGGAGGCAGCAAGCCTGAAGCTACCTGGATTTTCAATACTTTAGATTGTGCTAAGCGTACCTGCACCTTACTACAATCACAAGTGTAAACAGCACCTTGAAAGAAGATTATTCTTCCTCTCCTCCCCACTCCACGTCCTCCACAGCAGGCTAACATGTCAAGAATTTGATGACCAGTAACCACAACACGTACTCAGACATTACAGAACAGCCTGGTCTGCACAGAAGGTGTTACATTGAGTTAGGAGCTAAAGACATTCCATTTAGACCCATTTTATGTTGTAAAGCAGGGAGACTTTGCAATTTATGAAGTTCACACTTCCATAAATTTAACAGCACAATCACAACTCCAACCATTCAGAGGTGAACATAAATAGGTCTGAAGACAGTGAAGTCTAGACAAGGCATAAAACAGTCCAGCAAAATTCACTTCAAACAAACTTCAGCCTAATTCCAGGCCCTTAAAAAAAAAAAGAAAGAAAATATTACAAGCATGCAATACATCATTTAGGTGGGAATGGCATGTAGGCCAGGCTTGTCCAGAGAGCTAGACTATTTTGATGGTGTTCAGCTCTGAGAAGCACTGCTAATTATTTTGTCATTTGTTTCATAATAACTATTTTAAACTCTGGTGCCTACACATTCCACTCTAGAGATTCACAAAACAAACATTCTTGCATTTGGCACAGGGACAGCAATTATTGCTCATTAGCGACAGAGGAACTTGGATGTAAGACTATGTAAATTTCTCAGTGGTATCTAGTTTATGCAAACATACTACTGCCTCAACAGGGTTAAAAGAGTTTGGTATTCAAGTACGGATTCAGCCAAGCCATGTGTTTAGTGTGTTTCAAATCATGCATGAGCAGGTGTCATTCCCAACCCTGTTCTAAGATACAATTTAGAGAGTGTAGAGTAAAAACACGCATCCCTTCCCAGGAGAACCACCACACACAATAAAGTTCTGTACAAGTCTCCTCACCCCCAAAAGCTTGGCTGCTCCAAGGATTCCTCTTTCAAGACTACTCCACCCACACCCTAGTCCTCTCTAAAGGTTCTCCCTCTATATTCAGGAGAGTTAAAGCCATAAGCTTCAGTGAGTCAGGAGAACCCATTTAAGGATTCCCAGCAGGAGGGCATCAGGGAGGGATGCTTTAGGCAAACACCATGAAAGTGTTACACTGAAGCACAAACCATGATCTACACAAAGAGACTGAACTGTTATCCAGGTACCCCAAAGTAGCAGTTGCATCATAGACAGGACAAAGGAATCATAAATAGAACTCTTCTAGTTTCTCCTCCATAACATTCAGCTCATCTTACTGCACAGCTCATTCTCCTTCCACCTTTGGTCAGCCTCACCAATGCGAACAGTAGCCTAGATTTAAGTGAAACTGAATGTGAAGTGGTTTTCCTGTTCATTCACCAAGTATTCCTCAAAAGACAAAGCACAAGATTAGTTGTCAAAATTTTATTTTGCTATTGTTTAATCACCACCCACTAGATCAGAATGGTAAGTATGAAAGCTTGTGTCTCAATCTGAGACCATGGCAAGCTATGCATTCTCAGGTTTCTGCTGCTTATTAGGTAGGTACTCAGAGTGACTTAGGCCTGGTCTACACTACCACGGTAAATCGATCTAAGTTACGCTACTTCAGTTATGTGAATAATTTAACTGAAGTTGACGTAGCTAGATCCACTTACCATGGTGTCTACACCACACTGTGTTGACAGGAGACGCTCGTGCCTGCTGACTTCCCTTACTCTTCTTGGGAGGGTGGAGTACACAAATTGATTGGAGAGCACACTCCCTTCGATTTAGCGTGTCTTCACTTTGCTAAACTGACACCGTTCCATGGATTTCACCAGTGCTGATATACCTGGTAGTGTAGACATGGCCTTAGTCAAGATACATTAAGGGAAAAGGTTCTCAGACTATAGTGTAATTTAAGTTGCAAGTTACTAGCTTAGTGTAAGACCCAGTTTTAGGGTCAGCTTCTATTCAAGCAGGTTATATAAATGAGATGTACGAGTGACCAACATCTTAATGTCAAGGCAAGTTAAACAGTCAGGAGAGTTCACCTGTGAACAGGAAAGGTAAAGATTTAAGTGAATTATGGATTCCACACACCAGGGAGAATAAAGCCACAAGAATGGAAGAAACCCTAACATGGACATGATCACAGAAAAGAGAATCTTGTAACGGTATCGACTGTTTAGAGGACATTCTCTCCCTCAGGCAAAAAAACTGAGGGGGGGACTCTTCTTCAAACACATATAAAGCAAAAAAGCCAAGGTCCCCAGGATATCTGCACCACTCCAAATATGCATGTTGCAAGCAGCCAGCCCCTCAACCCCATGCTGTTCCTTGTTGTGAAATAGACAAGCAAGACAACTGAGGGCCAAAGAACAAAAGATGCATGAAGAAATGGAATGAGCGGCAGGATGGATTGCAAGATGGTACAAACTATTTACTTCTAACTCTGCTTAACATCTCAAAGCCCAGAAAAAAGGCAGTTCCTCATTGATACAAGTCTACTTAAACCAAAGAATGAAAACCCTTTAAAAAAAATTTAAAAATTGCTTGCTCTGCCTTGGTCCCTGCTTACCTTCTCAGAAACAGTAAGTCAAGGACTAAAAGGTCTTTTAGTGAGCACTGATCTTGGATCACTGCTTGGAAAAGTTTTCAGCCTCAAAACATTTGTAATAGTTCCAAGTGTTTCTAGCCCTGGCAGATCACACAACCTTAAGAACGATCATTAGTCTCTCTTCTAAATGGCAGTGCATTTTCACTTACCAAGTCCCTGTCTATACTACAGACAAGTCAGGGACCCGGGGTAATTCTTTTTTGTCAAGGTCCAAATTTCTTGGTCAAAGTATAGTCCAGGTCTGGACTCCAGAGAAAATACAAAATGCAACAACAGTGATAAATATGTAAATAAAAAGATTTCACAGTGTGTTCAAAAGCATCTAGTGGTCCAGACTTGGCCCACAGTCCATATATTGACTACTACTCAGGGAGCCTAACTACAACAGTTACCTCTTCATACAGAGAAGAGGTAACCAAATCCCTATGACTCAGACAAAAACTTGGACTGTCTAGGTTTCACCCAGTTAAGGTGACATAGTTCTACTCTCAGAAAGAAAAGGAGGACTTGTGGCACCTGAGAGACGAAAACATTTATTTGAGCATAAGCTTTCATGAGCTACAGCTGTAGCTCCTCCTTTTCTTTTTGCAAATACAGACTAACATGGCTGCCTGTCATAGTTCCACTCTACTACTCTGTGTCACAGACAGATCCCTCAACTACCATATAGTTGCTCTATGGATGGGGCTTTTGCTCTGCACTTCAAACCAATGTAGTTTTTGGCAAAAAGCATCATAAGACTATAAATGGGCCTGAACTGAAGGCTGGATCTGGACACCGATTTGGTTTGGGTCTGTCTCATATCTGAAGTTCAAAGGAATAACTGGCAATTTCCCAGGAATATACTTAAATGTAGCAATTTTCCTTATTCTAAATGTCAGTTATGCATGACTAACCATTGAAGATGGATTTTCCTCACTAAAGATGAAAGTGAACACCATGTGGAAACTAACTTCTCCCACCTGCCTCCCCCCAGCCCAATTATTAGGGTAGGCTTAGAAAGGAGGCAAGAATTAAGTAATAGCAGCTGAATCAGAGGGTAGAGTTGATTGAAACCTATTTAGATCCTTGCATTTCGTACCAAGATGTCAAAATAGGCACATTAGAAATGCAAAGATAAGTGGTCAGCACAAACGTTAGTTGGGATGAAACAATCCAACACCATTAGTACCACTCCTGTAAGTGACCGTACTGCTGTCTTAACATTAATGGCTCTATTACAGCTGCATACAGTGAACAGTAACTGCAACTAGTTGTGTTCTGAAAGATTACAAAGGCATCCAAAAAAATTCCAGATCAAGACTTCCCCTTCAAAAGGTGATGGCTCAAGTTAAAGGCAGTTTTAATGAACAGGACAAAATAAAAACAAGAAGGGAAGAGGAAAATACTTAAGTGGCTTAGTATGACATACAGGATTACTAGCCTGTTAGTCATATAAATAGCCAAATGACACATGACAGTTCAGCTGCCTGGAAACTTGCACAATCCCAATCTGTGTTCTTGGCTGGGCACGCCTTGGTGCTCTGGACAGCTCTCTTAGGTTCAGCGTGCAAAGAAACAGCGCAGTGAGACCAGCACCAGATGGAAGTTTCATCAGGATCCAAGTTCTCAGAATATGCCAAATTTGCCGTGTACCTCACCCGCAAGAGGCCTTATGAATTTGAGTGTGCTACAAATGCTGGGCTACTACTGAGAGGCCCTGTAGATTCAGCAAGCCATTCAAGAGGGATTTTCATACTGGCTAAAACAAAGCACAGCAGACTTCAGGCATTAATTTACCTGGCACTTGATTTTCCATTTCCTCTTGTACACGTTCACTAGGTCAGGTGCTTTCATCCAACCCTTTTCCCAGGGTGTCTTCTGCTTGATCCTCTAGTGAAGTCGTAATGCTGAATTTGTGACATTACAGCCCATTTCCATGGCAACAGAGATGTCACAAATACAGGATTAGGATTTCACTACAAACTCAAGGAGCAGGAGAAGCTAGGCTGTGAAGTACAAGCTCTTCAACAAATGCAAATATATGGAA